TGTTTAGAAGAAAATGTGAAAAAGCAGAGTTGTGACATCTTCTGTTTTCCTTAAAGTGAGTGAACTGGATGTTCTGCCAAAACTTAGTACTATCAACTATGACAAACAGAAAAGTTAAAGAAGGAAAATAAAGATAAATGATTAAATAATTATAGACAGGATTGGGAGCGCCAACTATTAGTTAGGTTGGCTGACACTTCCTATTATAAGACCCTATTTTCAATTGTTTATAATTTAGCCAGACTTGCACCATTTGGGCTGAAATTTTCCAAGCTGACTGTGAGTGTGTGGGGATGGGTGGGTGGGTGTCAGTCTGACTATCTGTTTTTCTTTTTCTTTTTCTTTTTCTTTAAATTTCAGCCAAAAGAGTCTAACCATTTCTGAGAATGAGATTAGGGGGAAATACATTGCTTTGCCTGTATTAAAAAATTGTGGGACCAGTTCTTTTAATGTTCCAGCTCCCTCATGTTCTGTGGCAGGGACTTGAAATTTGGCAGGGGGTGTCCTTTGTGTCACAGTTGTGCTTTTTGACATGCCCATGAAAAGTTACCCAAATTTGGGTAAGTTATAAGCCTTTGAAAAAATGCAGTTTGCCCAGGCTCATTAGAGGATTGCTAGAGCTTAACAGCTAAAATCTGAAAAGATTCTATCCTCACTGAGCATGCCTCAGCCCCTCACAGGTTCTAGGTGTGACCAGACTGCATATGTGACCATCCCAACACACTGATCTGCTCCAGTCCAGGACTATGTGGGCTAGAAAAATTTTCCTTGTCTGTAATGGTTTCTCCCAGCTGCCCATGAGTGTGTCTGAGCACTGGAACTGAGAGCGGGGAGTCTGTCTCTCCTTTGCTGTTAATCTCTCTCTCACACACACACACACACACACACACCCCCGCTGGGCCCTGGATAGCATGGAGGAGGAAGCCATCTATTCAAATACAAAGGATCAAGGAAGAGGGAAAGGAGTAGATCGGGAAAGGATCTGGTGAGAGGGGAAGAAACTGACTGTGAGTTGGAGAGGGGAGCCTGGGAATGGTTGAACAAGAAGACTGGAAGCAGAGGGAGGGGAGGCATGGACTGGTTGGGCAGGAAGGCTGGGACAGGTTGAGTAAGGGATTGGGAGCTGGGCGTGGCTGGGCAATGAGGCTGGCAGTTCCTCATTAACTTAGCACTGTCCATCCTGTGAACTGAATGAGGCAGGGGTCCTATGGAAAAAATAGGACATAACCATGTAATTAAAGACTGTGTCAAAATGCACACAAACACAAGGGGCCAAATTAAGGTTGCACCAGCAGCCTTAATTCTGGCATTTCCTAACTCTCGAGTGCTTGATTTTGCCACCTTAATAATGTTCTTTTGATGTTGTTTTAGTGTGTGCAATATGTAATAATGGTGCAGCCTTTTAGCACATAATGCAGCTTGATGTTGAGTTATCCACCCAGGAGCACAATGATTTCAGGGACTAAATGCTAAATATTTTAGTTACTTTTAATATTTTGCATGATTTTTTTTCTTAATCAGTGTTATAGAATGAGTGTTACTATCAATAGATAGCTACCTTTGGTATGATGGAGGAAAGCAGGTTTTAGGGGTAAAAACATAGGTTCAAAGGACAGTCTTAGAGGAGATGGAGCCCGCTTGAAATTAAACCAAAATGGCCATCTTCCATAGAGAGGACTCTGATAAAAGACAGCTAGTGGGATGATTCTGCTAATATTGTGAAATTTAAGAGCCACTAGATGTGTATTAAAGGCTTACAATAGACAAAGGGGAAATTTTTCAATAGTGCATAGGTGACAGAGTACTCTGTCTGTATTCAAAGCAGTCCTCAAAGTGACTTAGGCACTTTGAAACCTACGTCATTTATGTGCTTTTTCAATAATTTAACTTGGGTGCCTGAAGTTAGGCTCTAAGTTCATATTAAGCATCCAGTTAAGAGGCCTATTTTCAAAATTTGTGAGCATCCAGCAACTCACACTGACTTAAGCAGGGAGCTGCTGTGTGCTCATTAATTTTGAAAATCAGGCTACTTAACTGAATGCCTAAATACGGATTCCGGAGCCTAACAGACAGACAGTCCGTTTTGAACATCTTGGCCTGAGTGTCTCCTGCAATGTTTTTTATATAAGATTTAAGGACCTGCTCCTGTTCATTTGAAGTCAGCAAGACTCTTCCAATGACTTCAGTGAGCTTTGAATTAGGAGAATTTGAGGTAGAAAGTATCGACTTGGGAACTTTTGCTTAACTCTGTATTCTGGCACGTACTTTCAATGTAGGAAATAAAATGAGAAAAAAATTGTTTGGAAGCAGAATATGAAGAGTACAGATAGTATTACGTTTTTAGGTCTGCACTAAGATGCAAGAAGTATGTGGAGAAAGACAGATGAGCTAGAAGTGTTACTAATACGTGTTCTAATCTAGTGGGCATAATTGAAACCGGATGGGAAGATTCTCATAACTGGAATGTCCATATAGAAGGGTACAATATGGGGAGAGGAAGTGGATGAATGGTATTAGATATCTAGAGTTTTTATGATAACAATGAAATCCACATTTCAACCACTAAGAAAGTGGTGGTTAAAATTATTGGGTAAGGATATAAGTAATGAAACAAATGAGAACACACCGTCTGTTAAGGGGAAAAAATGAAAATTAAAAAAAAAAAAGAGAGAGAGAAAGAGAGACAGAGACAGAAAAAGGAAAATAAACAGAATGAGTTCCTGGCAGTCAAGGAGGTGAGATGGACTTTTATAACAAATTGGTGATCGATGCAGTAATAAAGAGAAAGTAGGCCTGCAAATAAATGGGATAGAGGAAATTAATGATGCTACAAAATAGCTGAAATACTGAACTGCTTAGGCCTTATTGTACTTTGATATTTTGAATGAAATAATGAGAATATCTAGAACTGTGGCTATTCATAGTTAAGCACTGAACCCTGATTATTAGCTGTTATTCAATAGAAACGACAACACACGGGTGCACTATTTGATAAGGCCAACAAAAAACAGATGTGGGAGAAAAAGAGAGGGAAGGAATACATTCCAAAGTTCATGAGAACATGGAAAAAAGAGAGACAAAAAGAAGTAGTTGTGATATAAAGGAAGCATAAACTATCCCCAAAGCTGGAAAGAGGAAAGTACATGTTTCTCCAGAGTTTTCAGCTGAAAACCAGAAGGCTATTGAGTCTTTTTGTGTGAGGATTTTCTGACATTTGGAAAGGGGATGTCTAGCAACGTTTTCTCAATGTTGCATAATCACTTCAGATGGGCAAATCTGCTTGTACTGACAGATTTTCAAAGGCATCTAATGTTCAATCTTCGTTCTATTTCTGACCTCTAATAAGCAGTGAGATCATCACTAACACCCACCACTCTTTTTTGTTTGTATAGTGCCTAGCATAATGGGGTCGTGGTCCATGACTAGGGCCTCCTTGTTAAGACTGCAGTACAAATAAGTAGTAAGAGTGATGATGAAATAACCCTCCTTCAAGATGTATCACGTCTACATTTTTTGTAAAGTTTTCAGATTTCTAAAAGAAATTTCCTATGTGAAAACTCACAGAGGAACAAATTAAATCTTTGAAGGTTATTGGGAATGATTGCACTTCAGAACAAAAAGCTTTAAAAAAATGGAATAAAGTAAGGGCAGATTCACGTGCAACACAATGTTTGTTCTAAGCATGTGTACTTATTTTTAATACCTCAATTGTTTTGATGGTACAATAACTAAATTATATCTCTTCTGAAAGCTACCCAGGGCCTGGTTCTCACTCATGCTTACAAACTCACACATTTTAAGTCCTCTTTACACTCCAAAGTGGTGCAAAGCGGCCTTGGTGTAAATGAGAATCAAGTCCCCAGTATGTATTTAATCCTTGAGCTTTGTCCATCATCTTATTTGCATCATATAAAGGTTTGCAGAGGAATTTATTCAGGATATAGTATATGAAAAGCTAAATGCTTTCATTGCTTTACAAGAAGAGGCCTATCATTTTTCTTACTTCTCAGCAGGGAGGTGGAATTCCCTCCTTTCATACAGCCCAGGCTAAACATTTCTGACACCCAGAGTACAACATCAATTGGAAATTCACATTTCATGTAATAACAGACCATTTTAATTTCATGAGCTACAGAATTGGCTTCCACTTGGAAATTGCATTGAAGAAGGCAATATTGTCACTGCATAAAGAGAGAAATCTATTGAATTAAATAAGAGGCTTTCATTACCTTTTACATTGCATTTCCATATAACATAAGCATTAATTAAACCCTTCATCACGTTCTTGCTTCAAGTGGAGCATTTGCTGTGTCTGACAAGAAATGTCATCCAAGAAAATGTGTGGAACCCAAACATTGCTATTAAAATACACTTGCTTGAGCAGAAGGGAGAAAGTGGAAAGAAAGTGTTGCTGTACTAAGGCAGTCAAACAGGCAGAAAGACACATCAGGGAAACATCCTCTTTCTTCCCTTTTCTCCCCAGGCCAACCCTTTGTGTCTAACAGAGTATGGCAAAGCTGCCAAAATTTGTAATTCTCATATCTGAGGTTTGGTAGAGAGAAAGCTCTGAAAGCTTTATTGCTAGCCTGGTCGCCGGGTCTTTCTCAGAACATTTCAAATGCAAGGAAGCAGCAAGCAACTGTCCTCGAGATTTACATAAAGGGATTCTTCAATTAAGAATCAGTTTAACCTTGAGAGAGTCTCATTTGAACTGCAAAGCTTACCAAAATGGCATTGAAAAGACAAAAGTCCCTATATGGCAAGGAATCCAAGATTAAGGCCAAATTGTAGGTCAGATGCAAAGTGTTCCCATATTAGGACTGGAGGGTCAGGAAAATGGTCTAGCAGAGAGATGATTGTTTCTATATTTGATCAGTATGTTTGTTCATGCACTCTAAATAAAGCGGTGTGCATTTCATGAGCACTGTGTACATCAAGGTAATCACAACCTGTTGCTCATTTTTTATAAGTAAACAATATACTTTCTCTTACGATTGCAGGGGAACATTTGAGAATCTGTCCTCAGGAGTATACATGCTGCACCACAGAAATGGAGGACAAGTTGAGCCAACAGAGCAAACTGGAGTTTGAAAACTTGGTGGAGGAAACAAGTCACTTTGTGCGCACCACCTTTGTGTCCAGGCACAAGAAGTTTGATGGTAGGTTGGGATATAATTTGCTTACTCTCTGAAGGTTGAGAAAATGAGCCTTCAAATTGACTTCCGGAATTGTACATGAGTCCATTATTCAGCATATATTCTGATTTTGTTTCCTTTACAATTTGATACCACTGTTGCAGTTATCACTTTGGCTAAGATAAGGGTTAACTTTACAGCTTGTGCCCTTTATCAGCTCTGTAACTATTGCCTTTAATTACAGTAACATAAAGAATTAGGCAGTTGAGTGTCTGCAGACTTGGCTAATTTTTTTTTAAGAGAGGGAGAGAGATCAGCATAAGATGCATCATTTTTCCTCTCCTAATTTCAAATGCAATTTTTAAGCTTGCAATTACATTCACTGTTGCAAGATGAACTATGGACCTCCCGTGATTTTTGTTAGGGTAAAGCTTTTTTTGTCGTCTGTAGCCTGGCTTACTCTTTCTTCTGAGTGCCAGTGCTTTCCCTGTGAAGTACAGTGTCCCTCTGAACACCCATGGCTTGCACACACATGGGAGGAATTTCACTACAAACCTCTCAGGAAGTACTGAAATCTTCTACTTCTACAGTAATTGACAGACAGATATTTGGTTATTTTTCTTTCCATTCAGTACTATGATCTCTCCTTTCTCCAGTTTAGGAAGATCTGGGAAAGGGATCAGAGACTTGCTCTAACAATTCACCTACAGTAGTTTTCTTTAGCAATGAATGTAAAATGATATTTTTTCTTCCCCTCTTCTTATTCTCCCCTGGGCACTATTTATTAAATAAATCTTTCTCATTATAAATCACAAAGTAGTAAGTGCTAAAATAACAAGTTTAATATGTTCAATCACCGCTTTGTCCATATACGCATTCATCTGAGGTCTAGATATATTTTGACTGTTTCCTTCTATGTATTTCATAATATGTATATGTGGGAAAGACGCCTCTCTTTAGGAACTGTGTATGGGACATGCCCAGAGAAGTATAACCTGCATGGCAAAGGAGAAGCAGAGTTTTCTCTGCATGTTTCTCTCCCCACGCAGAACTTCTTCTGGAATGTAAGTTTTGAGTGGATCTGGTCAACCCTGCTGAACGTGGCAAGGATCTGTGCATATCTGTTGCTGGGACAGGATGGAAGAAAATAGAAATGTGTTAGACTGGATCTCCAAAAGGGATTGGAAGTTTGGCTAGGGGACAATGAAGGCTAATTTCTGTAATCTCATGGGGATAGCAGGTTGAATGCTGTTGCTGTGTGGAGAATTGGAAACCAGTATCAGCAATTCTATGTACAAAGAGTGAGGACGTGTGGTGGTGGTGGTGTTATTTTATTTTATTATATTGTATTTTAATTTTCAATTAATAAGCCAGATGGGGGGCAGGGGAAGGTTCCACATTGAAGTTGTAAAGTGAAATGCTGGGAGAGATTGTAGCTTTTAGGATAATATTGTTTTCCTTATTCCATTAAAGTTTTGCTTCACTATGAGAAGAATGTGATTTTCCCACTGTCACATGGTTTGTGTGTGTGTGTGTGTGTGTGTGGAGAAGCACTGTGGAAAGTTTTGGGGAGGCATATATTTCCCACTTCCTTCAGCAGAGGGGAGAAGGCTGCTGTGAATTCCCTATCCCCTTTTCCCAGCCCCAATGCTGCTATAATTTACAGTGTGGAAACTGATTCTTGGAGGGAATGTTGGGAATGTGCGTTCAGGTAACAGAGTGCTGGTGTGGTATGAATTTATTATTTAATCTTTTAATTGTGTAATCAGTTGCATGTGATTTGGAGCTGACTGTGTAGAGTGCACCTTCAGGATTCTGTTTGGCTTTGTGAAAATTTAAAAGTTTCATTTTTGTATTTTAAAAATAGTCTTGGAGCATGTGCAATATTCAAAGTTGGGTTTGTAAATAGAAGTGAAAATTTACAACCCTCAAGAGCAGCTGCGGGGATTTCTTCCATTTGTGCATGGAAACCAGTATAGTCAATAGAATCTGGTTAGTTATGTAGGTTACTAAAAATGCTTGCAGATGGTCAATAGTTTGTCACAGATCTCAGCTGATTCCTTTTTGTACTCTTGATAATTCGATGCCTTTTTATATTACTACAATGAACAACTAAGGCTGTGGTGGATTCTCCATTTCTTTGAATCGAGACTGGATATCTTTTTTAAAAGATGCTATAGCTCAAACAGAAATTATGGGCTTGATGCAGATACACCTCTACCTCGATATAACGCTGTCCTCGGGAGCCAAAAAATCTTACCGCGTTATAGGTGAAACTGCGTTATATTGAACTTGCTTTGATCCACTGGAGTGCACAGCCGCCCCCCTCCCCCCCAGAGCACTGCTTTACCGCGTTATATCTGAATTCATGTTATATCGGGTCGCGTTATATCGAGGTAGCGGTGTATTACTAGATGAGGTTTTTTGGCCTTTCTTATGCAGGAGGTCAGACTAGATGATTGTAATGGACCCTTCTGGCCTTGGAATCTGTAAATTTATTAATGTTTTTTTTTAATTTTTTTTAAGAGAGTGTTTGTCATGTGAAGTTCAAGCATTGTCACTGAACAACTGAGCTTCATTTCATAGTCCTTTAATCAGATTCTGCAATTGTTCTGGAGGTATTCTTTTTATATGCAAGGAATATTGAGTCCTCCTAGGCACTGCAGATATTCTCATGGAACAACATACCCATCAAGTAGCCTTCATCTTCACTATAGGGCTACCTATAGTCTGTCTGGGCTTTGAAGCAGTTTAAAATGGTAGGGCACTATTTATGCTGTAAGAACGATTAGATTTTTAGACTATTTGGACTGTAAGCTCTTTGAGACTTGGACCATCTCTCTTGTTCTGTGTTTGTACAGTGCCTAATGCAGTGGGGTCATGGTCCATGATTAGGGATTGTAGGCACTACCACAATACAAACAATAAAATAAATAAAATAATAAAATAAATAAAACAGTTTAATGGAAGTTGCTGTCTAGTACACGTGTTCATCAAGAGACGCACGTATCAGCAACCAAAATATATATGTGTTTGTGCATATGTTGAAAATTTTGGCACCAGTGAAACAAAACACATACAAAAAGTCATACATATAATGGAAGAGGTTTTTAGAAAAACGTTATAAATAACTTAAGCAGTGAAGTCAAGGCTGATCTTAGCCTTGTTTTAGGAAAGGAGTGGAAGAACATAAGGGTAATATGCAAAACCTCCACTTTGCATTATGTTCCAGCTCGTTTCATCAGTCTCAAAAATACCACTTCAAACACTTTACATGGATACTAGTTTTCAGTTACAGATGGAGGTGGTAGGTCCACCTATTATTAAGGTTGCCTGACACTTCCCATTGGAGAACCTTGTTTTTAGTTTCTTATAATGTTGACAAACTTTAACCAATTGGGCTGAAATTTTCCATGCTAGGTGTCAGGATTAATTATTTTGGGGAAAATTACAGCCAAAATGTTTCAGCACTTTCCAAGAATGAGGCTAGAGGCAAATGCAGTGTTTGCCCATTTAAAATATTCTGGTGACCTTCATTTTGAATAGTTCTAGTGCCCCCTTGCTTTGGAGCAGGGACTTGAAACTTAGCAGGGAGCCAGCCTTTGTGTCCCTGTAAAAATCTGCCCTAAATTGGCTAAATTCATGGACCTTTTAAAAATCACTGTGGTGGTGGTGGTGAACTGGTATTGGTTGGGCAAAGAAACTGGCTAAGGAATTAGGGAGAAGACACTGAGATTGGATGAGGAGCGCAGGGAGAGGAAGATTAAGAATGGGAGCCAGGGACAACCAGGAACATACATGTGTGGGGGTGGCTGGAGATGAAGGTATGGAAGACAGACAGGTCATATGAGCAGATGTGGGAAAGAGGGAACTGTGAATGTCTTGGTAACGAACCTGTGACTGGGATGAGAAGCCTGAGAAGTGGAGATTGGGATGGAGTACGCAAGGAGAATGAGACTGGGACAAGGAGCTGGGGTGGAGAAGAGTCAGGACAGGTACAAGCACAGGTTGAAGATGAAAAGGCAGAAGGGGCATGCTTGGAGAGTAAGGGCAGAAGAATCTGGGCACCCCAAAGCATACTCCCTCCAGAGCTTAAAACAAAACTCAAGATTTCTGAGGGCTTGTCTTTATGGAGAGACAGTCCATGGCAAGGTGGTTGTAAATCCATGGTGCACTAGTTGACTGCATACTAACTGGCCACATGGACCCATGCTCCCATACACACAAATTCTGTAGTATACTATGGAACTCTTATCATGAGGTAAGAAAGGTCCACGGCTAGGTTGTGTGCAGCATGCTGGGGTATAAATCTATGGTGCAATAGCTTGCCACTCAGTAACTCTTTGTATAGATAAGTCCTGAATCTCACTATTCCTCTGCTGTCAGCAAATACCTGTGAAACTCACTGGCAAACAGTCCCGTCCCCCTCTTGCTGGTCAGATACAGGATGACAACTATGACATTATTGGCATCACCGAAACTTGGTGGGATAATACACATGATTGGAATGTTGGTATGGATAGGTACTGCTTGCTCAGGAAGGATAGGCGGGGGAAAAGGGAGGAGGTGTTGCCTTATATATTAAAAATGTACACACTTGGACTGAGGTGGAGATGGACATAGGAGACGGAAGTGTTGAGAGTCTCTGGGTTAGGCTAAAAGGGGTAAAAAACAAGGGTGATGTCATGCTAGGAGTCTACTACAGGCCACCTAACCAGGTGGAAGAGGTGGATGAGGCTTGTTTTAAACAACTAACAAAATCATCCAAAGCCCAAGATTTGGTGGTGATGGGGGACTTCAACTATCCAGATATATGTTGGGAAAATAACACAGCGGGGCACAGACTATCCAATAAGTTCTTGGACTGCATTGCAGACAACTTTTTATTTCAGAAGGTTCAAAAAGCTACTAGGGGGGAAGCTGTTCTAGACTTGATTTTAACAAATAGGGAGGAACTTGTTGAGAATTTGAAAGTGGAAGGCGGCTTGGGTGAAAGTGATCATGAAATCATAGAATTCACAATT